TTTCAGGCTCTAGCTCCGAGCAGGAGCTGGAAAAGCGCCGGTGTGAAAGGGGCTTAACAGACATATGGGGTTTTACAGAAGAGTGGGAAAGGTAGTCTGTTCTTATGGGATGGTTTTAGTTTCTAGCCCAGGGGTGTCCAAACTGCGGCTCGGGGGCCAAATGCGGCCCTCGGAATCGGCCCTCAGCAAATTCTGAAAGTATAATGAAATATGGCCCACAAATGAAACCTCTGCTTGTCTTATATTGCACTTCTTAAATATATATGTACACATATATTACACAGTAGTATTCATGTGTTAATAATCCCACCTTTAAAATAAATTCAGTCAATTAAAGCTGAAAACATTTCCTAACAAATCTAACTTGATAAGAAAAAAGCCCAATAACTTATTGTTATAACAAGCATGAAATAAACCCTTCATATTTCCTGTAATTATAATCAATCTGAAGCTCCTGTTTAAAGGAATGAGCTGCTAACAGAATAAAGTAAACCCTCTGGAGAGCTGTGAGCTGTTTTGTTTCTTAAAGCATCTTCAAGTAACAAGCATCCTTTACCTTCATTTGATTGAGTTTCCTGACTTATAACTGAACTTATGAGGCAACATACCTCTAGAGAGCGGCCCAGACCTTTATATATTTTTCTGTATGCGGCCCTCGGTGAAAAAGGTTTGGACCCCCCTGTTCTAGACCAATGACTGGTTACTTCCTGTAATGCAGCTGAGAGCTGTGGCAGGCAGTCGTAGTGTTTGCAGAGAAGATATGATGGGATGTAAAGCATGAGATCAGGACTCTGAAGCTGACTCAAAGAACGAACACTTATTTTAAACTGGACCTTAAACTGTTGGATTGTGTTCGTCTCTACAGGATCGGAGATGATGAAGAGCCGATCAGAGCCACGATCCAGAAGACCTGTGAGTACTGAAACCATATCCTCCATTCATCAAGATATGAAACTCTTTAATGGAGCGTGACCTCAGAGGAAAACAACACTCTTCTTTCTCTTTTCATAATTGTATCTGTTTCTCTTTGTTTTATTATCATCATTATTCTCTCTCTCTCTCCTTCTCCTCTCAGGTGACAGGAAGTGAAGACACACAGAAAGGTGAGAGGTCGTACCGTGTGAAGTTTATTTCTTGAGGTTTCAACACGTTTTTCTGGTGTTCCAGACAAATCTGTAAGCTCAGGTTTTCTTTGTTCTCAGTGTATTTATCACGGGGCGAGTTTGAGACGTAAAGAAGAGCGTGGAGGCATTTTGGAAAAAAAAGAAGAAGGCTGCAGCTGATGAGAGACTTCCTGTTAGCTCTCCTCAATATGAAATGAACAAAAACAATCAATTGTACTTAAAGCTTTTCTTAAGAAGAAAGATGTGTTGCACATACACCTGCTGCTACCTACCACCACCTCCCACCCATCCCGGCACCAAAGAGGAGACTCCATCGACCCCAGATACCCCAACTCACTCTTCTTCAGGTTAGCTTGGAGCCCCGCCTTTACCTGCCCCAACATCTCACTTTGAACGATGTAGTCATCCGGATATCTGCATACTGAGAGTGGGACGCAGGACCCGGTCAATGAGCTGCTGGAAGGGGGTCCACTGGACTGGAGGGGCGCTTGGATCTGGTGATGCCTGGCTCTTTCTGAAAGGGGAGGACACCTATTTGCCATCGTTTTTCCACCTGACGACTGAGTTCGGCATCGGGGGTTCCAGTTGGGGTGAAGAGACTCTGGGGGGCATCCGATGGCTCCTGAATAGGGGGGGCCCTTGGAGTGTCCAACCTTATGATGATAATAATAATAATAATAATAATAATAATGCATTTTATTTGTAAAGCACCTTTCATTGCTAAAAGTAATCTCAAAGTGCTACAAGGGGCATAATATACTTCTTTTTTTTTTAAAGAAACACAAGTTTAATAAAAGGCTTTAAAAAAAGAAAGGTTTTTAGGCCCTTCTTAAAGGAGTCAGTGGTCTGTGGAGTCCTCCGTTTGTCTGGGAGGGAATTCCACAGGTGAACAGAAAGCCCCCCCATGGTGCGGAGTTTGGTCCTGGGGGGGGAAGCAGATGGTTGGTTGTAGAATGGAGGTTGCGTGTGGAGGTTTGTGAGGAGAGTAGTTCCTTGAGGTATGAAGGAGCGTTCCCGTGGATGCACTGATGGGTGAGGAGTGAGATCTTGTATTTGAACCTAGCTGGAGGGCTATTGGTGCCCCCTGTGGACCGAAAGAGACTCTTTTGGTTGGGGTAATGAGGTGAAAGTTATCTGCACCTATTAGTAGGAGAGGCTGCACTTTGGAAATGAGAGAAGGGGAAGGCCTTGTAGGCGGAGATAGTGTTTCTTGAGTTCATCCACAGGATAACTCTAGTCCACAAGTGAAAGTCTGTCGGAGGTGAATGTGTCTTTGAGGAGGAATGTTTTCTTGGGATTGAAAGAGGGTGATATCTCAAAGGTCACTGAGGCTCCATTTCAGAATAATATATATGATATGTTTTATAATGATTGATCATTAAAGTGTTCTCAAAGCTGGTAAAGGTGCAGCTAGTTTGAATGACTTTGTATACTGCAGGGTAGCTTGTGAATTTACTCCAGGTGGAACTAAAGTCTGATTTAACACGTGATTATATTTCACATCATTCATCTGTAAAGTTAATTATAATCAAATACAATCAATTATATTCTTGTATAACCCAAAATGAAAATGCTTCATATTTTATGGTTTTCTATATTTACAGTATAAACAAAGTGGTTTGTTAAATTGAGTGTAAGGCCTATTATGGTTTATGGGTGTCACTGATAAGAGAGGAGGCAGTTGCTTCCCTCACAGCAGTACACAGGGAGGGGGGCTCCTGACTTAAGGAGAAATAGACTGAGGCCCAAAAAAGGTGTTTGTGCCATAGCCGAGAATAATATTTTGCAAGTCCTGCAGAGTAAGGGTCATGACCTTTTTACACAAACATGGGAAGGTGTGTCTTATGCCATATTCATAGAATATGTCTGGACAAGTCCTGTACATCAGAGGCCATGCCCAGTTTCCACAAATATGGGTATGGAGGAGGTGTCTAGGTTTTTCTGTCCTGTTTTTGAGCATAAAGACACTGGCAGAGAGGGAGCAAACAAGAGAGAGAGAGATAGAGGGGGGGTTCCCCTGGTATACTCTCTCCCGGTAAAGCACTCTCCCTGGAGAGCTGGGTTTTGGCCTCGGTAAGGTTCTCTCAAACTTGGTAACTATTGCTTAAATCTCTGTGTATTGAATGCTGAGTGAATGGTTGGATGAAAGTTTAAAACTAGAATTCTAACTGATCATTCTGAAGAGCTGCCTCTTAATGTGTCAGGCTATAGGGTGTGGATGTTAACCCCGGCGATCTGTGAGGAAATTCCTTTGGATTATGTCGGAATTCAAACTGATCATTTTGAGGAACTGACCTCTGAATGTGTCAGGCCATAGAGTGTGGATGGTAACCCCGGCGATCTGTGAGGAAATTCCTTTGGATTTTGTCGGAAGACTTTAATGTCTAAACTATGAATTAAGGTTTTAGATTAGAAAATGACCACCGCATGATATGTTTAGTATGATTGTAATGTTGTAACGAGAGAAGGTAAAAACCCTGTATACGTGTGGACCAATTTTTTTTCAAATAAACTGATCCCATCTTTTGGATTGGGACAACTTAAAAGACATCTGCGCTCTCCTCTCCTGCTTAAAGGTACGAAATGCACACTGCCACACTCACACTTAGGTAAGGCCACACCTCATTACTGATATCAAAATCCTTCGGGATCGCTTAAACAGATTTAGTGGGTCGTCTGAATTTAAACAGCAGTTAATTGAACCTGGGGGGTATACGACGAATCGAGTTCAACATATCCTGGATATGTTTTGAGTTATCCGGTTGACTAAATAAAATAAAAACCCGCTCTCGCTAAACTGTCCTACGACGCTGGCTATCAACTCGATCGCTCAAGCCAGCCGTGTCCTATCTAGTTAGGTGCGCGTTCACATAAAATTGGTAGTATCTGGAGCATTCTACCAATATAGTATGTTGAAAATGTAAAAAAAGGTTATTACATGTCAATAAGTTAAACATTTTTACCCAAAAGTGGCTTACATCAACTCAATACTGTGGGCAATTCCCACTGGAGCTATTTGAAGGGAAGTGTCTTGCCCAAGGACACAGAGGGTGTTTCTCAATGTCAAGGAAGGCTGCTCCAGAGCCACTATTTCAAGGATGCTACGTCATCGAGTGCCGCCGAAGGACTGTTCCAATGTCCAGGATCCTTGGAATTCTACCGAGGGCCGGCGTCCTTCGTTGCGGGAAATTTCGAGGCTGCACATGTGTATCCTCCGCGGTCTTAAAATCCCCACAATGCTTTGCGCACGGACCAATTTCCAAATCTTTGGCGGAAATCGCACTCCATTTAAGGCGGGGCCTCTCATATGACACACACCTGTTAGCCTGTTCCACAATTCTTCGTTTTCCGAGGCTAGGAAGGATTCTTGCCTCGCCTCTGCAGGACCTGACTCGGAGGGACATGTCCTACCAAGGAAGCATCCTCGACATTGAGAAACACCCAGAGGCATGGTGACTGCAGTGGGGATTGAACCAGCACACTACTCCACTGAGCCACAGCCTCCATAGCATAGCAGCATGTCAAACATTTGAAAAAATTCTGTTTATTAAGTAGAAAAATATGAAAGAAGTTATAGTATAGCATGTTGAAAATCCACCTCAAACTACAACCTCACAAATGTTTGCACACACACACACACACACACACACACACACACACACACACACACACACACACACACATACACATTATATTGATACATCCCTGAAAGACAAATGGAGACGATATAACAGAAGACCTAATATTATGACAGTTTATTATTAATCCAAGAGACAGTAATCTGAACTTTAGTTTTCCTTCTGTGAGATCAATGCAGCAGCATATAATGGGTGATATCTTTTTAGAAAAGCTTTCTCGATTCATAAAACTATTCAGAGAAATTATACATTACAACGGAAAACATTGTTAAGTTGTTAGTGTTCCAAAAGAGAAACACTATAGAAAAACATTGTTTAAACACATGCATGTGTAAATAATAATAAGAAATGTTAGAGTTAGAGCCTACTGCAATATATATTTACAATACATTCTTAAGGAGATGTACAGAGGACAGGCAAACCTTTATTCAAACATCGGCAAATGGTCATTAACCTTTACATTCACTAAATGATACATGTCTACACCTGGAAGTGTTTGGGTTTAGGTTTTCGCTCAAGGGCCCTTCAGCGGGTGTTGATGGAGAGGGCTCAGTGTCTGGAATCCTCCTGGTCCAATCAGGAAGCAGCATGAGACAGAACAGGAAGAGTTGATGAGGGTGAATATAATAAACTCATTAAATTAAACACCATCTCTCATTCTGAACACGTTAAGGTCAGTGTCCACTCCACCTCCAGCTCCACTTGTACAATTGGGTAAACCTTAAGGATCACTTTAAAAAAAAAAACATATCCATTATTTACAGTTTCTTTGAAAGTATGAACAAGTCATGCGTATGTGGAAAATATTTTAAAAAGGTCATAGTTTAGTCTTAAAGCCACAGTAAAGTATGTCGAAAATGTGAAAAAAATCATAGTATACTGTGTCAAATAATCAGAATAACCCATACACCATACACAAAGTCTTCCCAAAACTGCTAGGAAAATGTTAGGTATTAGTATTATTTCCATGTCATGATAACAACTACGACATATTAATTATTGATTTTTATGAATTTTAAATACCAGTTTGTTTACATAACACCATTGTCACTAGTGAGGCACAGGGGTTTATTACTAAAACGGCGACTCAACCTAGTTAATGGGAAGATACCCACTTATTTCTGTAACCTTAGTGATGTTCTGGAGTTATATCTCAGTGTCTTTATTGATCTCCAGCAGTATTTACCAGTACGTTGACCCACTGGGAGTCAGAGTAGATGAACAGAGCGTTCCTGTCGGTCCTCAGAACCATCACGTTCTTCCCCCTCAGCCTCCTCATCTGCCTCTCTCCGTCCGCCAGGAAGATCTGAACACACACAGCAAGAATTCAGCAAGAGTGTGTGTGCGTGCGTGTGTGTGTGCGTGCGTGCGTGCGTGCGTGCGCGCGTGTCACTGACCGTCTGGACCTTGTCTATCGATGGTTTAGGTCTCTCTCCCTCTGAACAGTTGCATGTTGCTGCAGCTCCTCCCTCTCCTGCGTCTCCCTGCAGGCCCGGCAGGACGTACACTGCAACACAACAGATCAAATAACAAGAGCTGATCTGAATAACACCATAGAATAATAATCAAACATTTATTATTTAAGTTTTTTCTTTTAACTGTATTTTTTTGTTCTTGCTCACTAATCTCTTCCTTATATTTGTGTTTTCATTCTTTACAAGCAAACCAGGTGTTTAGTGTAAAGCATTTGTCCCTGAATGCAACATCTAACCAATCCTTACCTTACCTTTACTAAAATTAAGAGACATTGTTTATCAAGACAAGGGCTTATAAAATCATCAACAACCGATATGTTTCCTGCTCTGATCTGTGTTTATTTTTGGTGAAATACTGGACTATTTTATACTTATTCACAAAAAACACAAATGTCATTGTGCTCACATTACTCACTTGTGTTATACAATTTCTAATGAATGACCCCTACGTGTAATGTGATCTGCTTAATTAAGTCTAATGATCCTTTTTTTTATATATTATGATTTGTATTGGTATTGTGAACCTGTGGCAAAGTATCATAGATCAATTCAGAGTAATATTTTTGATCCCGCTGTCCCTCACCTTGTCCAGGTAGTCCAGGATCTCCAGTCAGCCCGGACCGTCCTGCAGAACCGGGATGACCGAGCCGTCCTGAAGATCCACTGGATCCCTTCAGCCCCTAAAGACAAGCATTTATTTCAGTCAATGTCAAAAATGTGTGACAAAACAGGTAGCTCGTTAGTAGGGATTAGCAAAGCTCCGTACTTTGAACTGGAATTATAAATTATTTGTTAAACTACATAGATGTATACATAGACGTAAAAGTTGGCACAAAATGAATCACCTTGGATGTTGACTCATCAAAATTGCGGCTAAAAGTCAATAAAAACAAGCAGTAGTGTTGCATTCATGGGTTGTGGGCTTTGCATTTCTGCCTTTAGGGAAATACAATATTTGTTTCACACAGAAAACTGCATCCATACAAATGTATTATTAAAATATGATTCGTGTAAGAGAGGAACACAAAATATGTATTAGATCAGTATTGGCTGATACATGAGGTTGCGTTATTTTATTAGACAGTAAAAAGTGGAATCGTCGTCCATACTTAGGCAGACTTAAATCAGAGACTTCAGCTGTGTCGCTCCAGTATCATGGAAGAAGGTATGACCAATCCTCAATTAGCAAATCTTTAAATAATGCCAATAAACTAGAGCAAAACTGAGTTACAGAAGACAAACTGGCCGGATGAGTGTGTTCATAAACCGCTGCTTCTCTTCAGCCTTCAATGTGAATATATACTAATATGTGTGTGTATGCCTCCACCCACCGAGGGTCCCCTGGCTCCCGGGTCTCCTCGGGGTCCCGGCTCCCCCCTCGGCGCTGCCCCCCCCCTCTGGCCCGGGTCGCCCTGCAACAGAACAGCAAGTAAGTCAAATGTATGTATAAAGCGCTAAACAGCATGCCTTCACAGCTGGACTCACATTAATGTAATGTATGTATTTGTTTATTCCACACATGGCAGTTATTTTAAAACAAAACATGTACACTCATACTGTTTTTTTATTTTTTTATAGCGCATGGTGGAAAGGAGCAGGGAGAAGAACATCTTATTTGACCTGCCCCTTCTTGAAATAAAAATGAAATAACTATAAAATGTAAAATAAAAGCGATATTCTTTCAGTCACAGTTGCTTACAAATACTGAAACATAAAACCAGAACACAATCACAAGTCAACTTCTTCATACTGTCGAATTACACTTTCTTTATACATTTGGGATTGTATGTAGTTTATGTTTGTCCTACCTTCTCTCCTGACGCTGCAGGGCGGCCCGGCTCACCCTGAAGAGGAAGTCATCCAAATGTTTCATGAATTCATTTATTGACGTCACAATTTTCAGCAGCAGCAAATAAAAGACAGGTTTTCCTCACCATCTCTCCAGCGGGTCCTCTTTTTGCTCTCACACCTTTCTCACCCTGATGGAGAGCAATTAAGATGATGAGAAATGAATCATGAAAATAAGTGGTTTTCTCAAGAAATGCCACTAAATGTTTATTTATCCATTTATTTGGCAGGGACATTGCACAGTAATGAACACTTAAAACATGAAATGTGCCAAGTGTAAATATGCCGGATTTAGCTTTGAGCTACTTTCCATCCGCAGTCGCTCACATAAAACATTAAGAAAAAGATAATTACAAACATAGCAGTACAAATACATAAAAATATAACAAATGTAAAAAATAAAAATGTGTTTAAAGTCCATAAAACAAGGTAAAGCTAAGAAAACATATGTATTATTGCTCATTTTGACAATCAGGGAATTTAAAGAACTTTCCAAATGAACATAAAAAATGAAAGAGACAAAGGGTCAAAGAATCACTTGTGAATAATAAATAAATAAAAAAAGTCACATAGTATAACAATAAATTGAAGTGCTGTTTACTTATTTAATAAAATAACAGAAAAAAGACACGCTGTAAAACTGTCACTTACCCTGAATCCTTTACCCCCCTTACTGCCCTGTGAATATAAATACTAATATTAATCATTTTTACCACAAACATTATATTGCGTATCAGAATGCACTCAGGTGTATTTCGTCTGCTCCTCACAGCAGAGGTTACCCATGGTGACTTGCTTTAAAATAATGTTTTAAAAGCATTTTTATGTAGATGTGTTTTTTAATTACTGATTTTAAATGCCATTTTCTTTCATTTTTTGTAAAGCACTTTGTGTTGAAAGGTGCTATATAAATAAACTTGCCTTGCCTTGCCTTGCCTAGATGTATGTAGGTTTGGCATGCCTTTTGAATGCAGTTATAAGTCAACTGATTTGATGAAGCGACATGCACCAGGTAAAGGGTCCATTTGGCAATCTAAAATTCATTTCAGTGTCTTAACGTGTGTACGGTAACATCTTATACATACAGATAATAGGTCCAGTCAATACTGAATCTTGCCTTAGTTTGCATAACGTCATGTGATATAAATTAAAACAGGCGGCATATGATCAATGTTTATGAGTCAGGAGCTGAGTGACGGTACCTTTATCATCCCAGGAGTTCCTATGTCTCCGTACAGACCTCTCCAGCCTCTGTTACCCTTCTCTCCCTGTGGAAACACAACATAACAATCATAAAGGAAAGTCAACTAAATAAATATACAGTATTTTTGCAACAGTCCTCAATATGATTAGAATGGTGTCAAAAGATGTGGAGGACTTTATTTATCAGATTTGTCAAGGATGGATCCTTTGATGTTGTTGACATATATTGCATTAAGCCACTTTGTTAAAGAAAAAGTTAGAGTAAAATAAATTGTCCCCAATGTTCTAATGTGATAAGCATAAGGTGCTGCTTGCATTAATATACAATTTGACCAAAGATAAAACGATTTACCCCTACCTGTTTTCGCAGATATTTTCTATAAGGAACTTCGTAAAACCATGCAGATTATCTGGATCCCTAGACATGCCTCCCAGGCCAATAACGTTATAAAACAGAGGTTATATCACATATTTGAGATTTTAGATGCGAGAACACTGTACAGTATATAAGCGCATGACAGAGGACAGTTTGAAAGACATTGATGTTATTTCTGTGACCTTTGGACCCGGCTGACCGATGGCTCCTTGTACTCCATGTTCTGCCTCTGGACCCCTCACACCAGGTGGACCCTAAAACACACAAAGTCGTGTGTATCAGAGGAAGAGCTTCAAGTTTCCACAGTTTCACAATCATTTGTGTTTGTGGTTCTGAGTGTGTTTCACTGTACCTTCCGTCCTCTGGGTCCTCTGCAGCCCTTCAAACATAGACACCATTAAAGTGTCATTATGTGAAATATAAAGTGTGAAGAAAACGGGACAGACTACTACTTAAAATGACACATGCAGTTGGTTAAATAACACATTTCTTGTTTTGTGGTATTAATAACTGAGGTCTGTCCTACCTTGGCTCCTTTTGGTCCTGTGATGAGTTCTGTTATATCTACCTGAAGAGAGAGAGACACACCCTTATTCAGACAATGCAATTGTGTGTGTGTGTGTGTGTGTGTGTGTGTGTGTGTGTGTGTGTGTGTGTGTGTGTGTGTGTGTGTGTGTGTGTGTGTGTGTGTGTGTGTGTGTGTGTGTGTGTGTGTGTGCGCACGCGTGCGTGCGTGCGTGCGTGCGTGTGTGTCGTCACCATCAGCTCTTCTTGTCGTTTGACTGTAGGAAACACCGGTGGAGGAGGTGGAGGAGAGATGAAGATTTGGCATTTTGGAGCGGACCCCCTGCTGCCTCTGTTAGACAGTAACCCTACAGACACACATTTAAAAAATAATAAACCTAAGACTGATACAATTTGACAATGTGCGTTATCATGTGACTGCTCTGTCAGTACTCCTTTGTTTATACACTGGAAATATGTGATCATGCACATGTTTCACTCACTGGTTGTGATGGAGGCAGCAGCTGGCTGGAGGCCACTGAGCAAGGCAGTCCATCCTAAAACCAGCTGAGTCAGCATCGCTTCTATTCCTGCAACAACAAGCAGATGTGAAAAATATGAAACATCACACACACGGACATATCCTCACTGAGTCCTGACACCATGTCCTCTCAAGCCCTGCCAGCTCCATCCATAATGTTCTCATGTTCTCCTGTTCTCAAGTTACTGTTTTGTGTTGCCCCACTCTGCTGATGTTCAGGTGTATATCAGTATGTAGTGTCTCTACTTTAAAGAGTCCTCTCCTGCTGATGTTCAGGTGTATATCAGTACTTAGTGTCTCTACTTTAAAGAGTCCTCTCCTGCTGATGTTCAGGTGTATATCAGTATGTAGTGTCTCTACTTTAAAGAGTCCTCTCCTGCTGATGTTCAGGTGTATATCAGTATGTAGTGTCTCTACTTTAAAGAGTCCTCTCCTGCTGATGTTCAGGTGTATATCAGTATGTAGTGTCTCTACTTTAAAGAGTTCTCTCCTGCTGATGTTCAGGTTCATATCAGTATTTAGTGTCTCTACTTTAAAGAGTCCTCTCCTGCTGATGTTCAGGTGTATATCAGTATGTAGTGTCTCTACTTTAAAGAGTCCTCTCCTGCTGATGTTCAGGTTCATATCAGTATGTAGTGTCTCTACTTTAAAGAGTCCTCTCCTGCTGATGTTCAGGTGTATATCAGTATGTAGTGTCTGTACTTTAAAGAGTCCTCTCCTGCTGATGTTCAGGTGTATATCAGTATGTAGTGTCTCTACTTTAAAGAGTCCTCTCCTGCTGATGTTCAGGTTCATATCAGTATGTAGTATCTCTACTTTAAAGAGTCCTCTCCTGCTGATGTTCAGGTTCATATCAGTATGTAGTGTCTCTACTTTAAAGAGTCCTCTCCTGCTGATGTTCAGGTGTATATCAGTATGTAGTGTCTATACTTTAAAGAGTCCTCTCCTGCTGATGTTCAGGTGTATATCAGTATGTAGTGTCTCTACTTTAAAGAGTCCTCTCCTGCTGATGTTCAGGTTCATATCAGTATATAGTGTCTCTACTTTAAAGAGTCCTCTCCTGCTGATGTTCAGGTGTATATCAGTATGTAGTGTCTCTACTTTAAAGAGTCCTCTCCTGCTGATGTTCAGGTGTATATCAGTATGTAGTGTCTCTACTTTAAAGAGTCCTCTCCTGCTGATGTTCAGGTGTATATCAGTATGTAGTGTCTCTACTTTAAAGAGTCCTCTCCTGCTGATGTTCAGGTGTATATCAGTATGTAGTGTCTCTACTTTAAAGAGTCCTCTCCTGCTGATGTTCAGGTGTATATCAGTATGTAGTGTCTCTACTTTAAAGAGTCCTCTCCTGCTGATGTTCAGGTGTATATCAGTATGTAGTGTCTCTACTTTAAAGAGTCCTCTCCTGCTGATGTTCAGGTGTATATCAGTATGTAGTGTCTCTACTTTAAAGAGTCCTCTCCTGCTGATGTTCAGGTTCATATCAGTATTTAGTGTCTCTACTTTAAAGAGTCCTCTCCTGCTGATGTTCAGGTGTATATCAGTATGTAGTGTCTCTACTTTAAAGAGTCCTCTCCTGCTGATGTTCAGGTGTATATCAGTAGGTAGTGTCTCTACTTTAAAGAGTCCTCTCCTGCTGATGTTCAGGTGTATATCAGTATGTAGTGTCTCTCCTGGGACATGTCTCCATGCTTTAATGTTCCAAAAGCTCTTTACTTTTCTCATAGCACCTCTTTTCACCCTCTGTCGGAAACCAGAGCCCAGTCTGCTCTGATTGGTTAGCTGGCAGGCTCTGTTGTGATTGGTCAACCGCTTAGAGATGTCCCGCCCCTTAGCCTATCAAGTACAATGTGTTGGAGCACCAGCCAATAGAAGCACGGGTGTTAAATAGTGATTTCACTATGTTCAGGAAGTAAACAAAGGAGTCCAATGGAGGCGTTTCAGGCAGGGGGGTGTGTGGGAGAGACAGGGATTTTATCCTTTGCAGACCATTTACATGCACAAAAACTTGTATAACACACTAAAGGGAGGAAAACCCCAAAAAGCATATGAAGGCCACATAATGTTTTTCTGCAGGTTTCAAATATTATATTTTCTCTAAAGATCTGATACGACCTTGTGTATAAACTCCCACATTCACACGTCTAATTAAATGTATCTCTCCCCGGTTGTGATTGAGAATGATTTCTTCTGAGAAAACACACAAACACCCTGAGTGGAAGAGACGCAGCCGATGAATGCACGCTTTATAAGATACAGCTTTTTAGTGTAATAGCGAGTTCTTTCAGACAGATTTAGAACTTGTTCCACTAATGCTGTAATAAATAAGACCCTTTATCCTTTAACATTGATTTTTCTGTCTTTCAGTGCAGTGTTGGCTTGCTTGTGGTGAAAATGCCTGCTCTGCAAAACACAGATCACGGATGAAGTATCGTATTGTAGTAAAATACTGTAGAAGTCTGCGGTAGTGAGGAGCACATTTGAACAACTTTAGACGCAATTTTACTTGTTTTCAGTTTGCATATTTCAGAAAATGTAATTGAAGCAATAAAAAAGGCATAACAAGACTTTCATTTTATCTCAAATATACCGATAGATATATTTTTTTTATTCCTCATGCTCTCTGATTGGAATTGAATTTACAACACATGTTGATAGCCAAAAGGAAATGTACTCACAAAATAAGCCCCTACGTGTAGTAGTATTTTATAACACACTTGTGTAATATGTGTATTACAATCAACATGATTTTTGGAAAACTGCTAACCCACTCAAAGAATGATCTGAAGATTATAGATAGATAGATAGATAGATAGATAGATAGATAGATAGATAGATAGATAGATAGATAGATAGATAGATAGATAGATAGATAGATAGATGGATAGATAGATAGATAGATAGATAGATAGATAGATGGATAGATAGATAGATAGATAGATAGATAGATAGATAGATAGATAGATAGATAGATAGATAGATAGATAGATAGATAGATAGAGAGATAGAGAGATAGATAGATAGATAGATAGATAGATAGATAGATAGATATCAGACACACACTGCATCGCTGTGTTGCAGTGTGTGTTGCAGTCTTACCTCAGTGTGTGTTGCAGTGTCCTGTCCTTGTTTGTCTACCCTTCCCCAAATGTAAAGCGTCTTTGGGTTCGAGAAAAGCGCTATAAAAATAAAATGTATTATTATTATTATTGTTGCAGTCTCACCTCAGAGTGTGTTGCAGTCTTACCTCAGTGTATGTTACAGTCTTACCTCAGTGTATGTTGCAGTCTTACCTCAGTGTGTGTTGCAGTCTTACCTCAGTGTGTGTTGCAGTCTTACCTCAGTGTGTGTTGCAGTCTCGTCTTACCTCAGTGTGTGTTGCAGTCTCGTCTTACCTCAGTGTGTGTTGCAGTCTCGTCTTACCTCAGTGTGTGTTGCAGTCTCGTCTTACCTCAGTGTGTGTTGCAGTCTCACCTCAGTGTGTGTTGCAGTCTCGTCTTACCTCAGTGTGTGTTGCAGTCTTACCTCAGTGTGTGTTGCAGTCTTACCTCAGTGTGTGTTGCAGTCTTACCTCAGTGTGTGTTGCAGTCTTACCTCAGTGTGTGTTGCAGTCTTACCTCAGATTGTTTCCTCAGCTCTGTGTCCTCTCCTCCTGCAGCTCCGTCTGTTGGAGCGTTTCTCCTCCTGGTCATCCTCCAGCTCCAGCAGCTCTTTCTGCTAAGCTTGCACGCTGAGTCTGACTTTATCTGGATAAACTGTGGAAGTGCAGCGCAGGCCCTGGCAGCTCTGCAGGAATAATCAGATAATTACTAACACACCGAGCCAAAGAGCAGGCGCTCATAAAGAGGATGAAACAGAGGAAGGAGAAAGTGGCACCTTCGGTCAGATTGTATTATATTATCATTACTGCTCTCCATTTACGCTCCAGGCTGTCAGCCAAGACCCTCACACTGATCAGACTGCTCAGTGAGATCCTATAGACCTGTCCTCACAGGGGGGTCAACCGGAGAAAAGACACTATGGAATTTTGTTTTATTCTTATTTTATTCCTGTTTTATTCAGCCCTGCGTTGGTATTATACTGTTTTTCATCAATATATTATAGGTCTCAGATATATACAAAACATGTCTCTGAAGTGTTTGGATCCAAACACCAAACAGATCATTGCAGCATGATCAATGGTGCTCTAGGAGGAGATCCAGGTGATAAGGTGTGGGGGGGGGGGGGGGGGGGGTTACCTTGGTTGGTGATTGGCTAATGGTTACACAAGCCAAAACATCGTTATGACATCATAAAGTGGCCAAAATCTGATCAGCTCGTTTTCAGACAGGTTTTTATATAAATGGATCAGGACAAAAAGAGAGAGAATCTTTTTTCCTGAAACTTTCAGAATCTCTTTACACAGAGGGGACACATGTTGATGTAGAAGAGACATGAAGAAGAGGGGACACATGTTGATGTAGAAGAGACATGAAGAAGAGGGGACACATGTTGATGTAGAAGAGACATGAAGAAGAGGGGACACATGTTGATGTAGAAGAGACATGAAGAAGAGGGGACACATGTTGATGTAGAACAGACATGAAGAAGAGGGGACACATGCTGATGTAGAAGAGACATGAAGAAGAGGGGACACATGTTGATGTAGAACAGACAGGAGAAAGTGGATTTTGCATAATAGGTGACCTTCAAATGTCCCTTTTAATCACACAGCTATGTGTTACTCTGGTTCAGAGGTGGGAGAAGTACCCAGATCTTGTACTTGAGTAAAAGTAGAAGTACCAGAGTGTAGGAATACTCTGTTACAAGGCATTCAAAATGTTCCTCAAGTAAAAGTAGAAAAGTATTATCATCAAAATATAGTTAAAGTAGCGACAGTAAAAGTAGTGATTGATCCATTTCAGAATAATATATATGATGTGTTTTATAATGATTGATCATTAAAGTGTTCTCAAAGCTGCAGCTAGTTTGAATGACTTTGTATACTGCAGGGTAGCTTGTGGATTTACTCCAGGTGGAACTAAAGTCTGATTTAAATGTTGATTATATTTCACATCATTCATCCAGATCTGTAAAGCAACTAAAGGTATTTAATACATGTAGTAGAGTAAAAGTACACAATTTACCTCTGAATTATAGTGGAGTAGAAGTATAAAGTATCAAACCATTGAAATACTCAAGTTAAGTATGAATACCTCTAAATTGTAATTATAATAATATAATAAATTGGGTGTCCGCCATGTTTCTTTTCTCACTGGGAAAGTTTGCGATCACGTGACATGGACACTGGTCATTAGAAATGAATAGGACAACAATATTGTATCAATGTCACGTCTTGAGGGTTATTTGTGAATATACTACGTTTTGCCCTGTCGACCAACGTCACTATTTCACGTTTTTTTGTGCGACTGGGCTCATAAAGCCTAACATGTTTAAATATTGGACTACTTTTACACAAAACAAATAATATTTTGTCTGCTATCAGTTGTATTTAAATCACTAAGAAAGTAATCTCGGTATGCTTCTTGAGCACTTCTACATCATATCACTTAAACAAAACACCTGTCAATGCAATATGATAAACCTTACTCTTTAAAGAGGCCCTATTATCATGCTTTTTGGTTTTCCCCTTTCCTGTACTGTGCTAAATAGGTTTTTGTGCATGCAAATGGTCTGCAAAGGCTAAAATCCCCAAGCCCTCAAGCATGTAAACATGTCTCAGTAGATAGACAAAATACAACCTGAAAGTTAGCATAATAGGGCCCATTTAAAGTTTAATATATTGGTAAATCAATGTTGAAAATGTCTGTTTTTAGATCCAACCAACACCTTCAATTTTTTTATATATCCCTCCCCAAGACTGTCCGTATGTCTTTAGATAAACATTCTCTCAAATCAAACAAAAAGCTTAATGTTATTGAACTTAAAATCACAAGTTCTTTATTTGGAGTTTTAAATGCTTCAATAAAAAGACAGAAGTGAAGACTGTCTACTACCATCTAAAGTTTGCTTCAAGACTTTAAAACTGCAAAAAGACAATCAACTGAAATTACAGAACATTTTACAAAATATACAAGAGCACCGATAGGTTGAATTGTAAACAGCCTAAAAAACAGGCCCATGGATGTAAATGAGGGTAGCATATGTACACAACTTAAACATTAGTTAAGTGGAGCAAGAAGCCATTCATGTGGACACTAGTAAAATTAATAATACCGCTTAAAAAGTGTGACTGTGCTTCCCTTGGAGTGCTTCCTAACATTTTATAAACTATCCAACAGCCCAATCTACAAATACTAAAAAAGTGCTGCTAGCATTTATTAAAAAAACCACTTTAAGTAAGGAAGATTCGAGGTGATGAGACAAGGCATTCAGAGTTACAAGCATAAAATCTTTCTTTGTTAAATCCGTCAAGTCTTGTTGAAGCTTAAATAGATCTGTCTTTATGTGTTTTTCAACATCTGCTGTCAGCGTTTGTCTTCTTTTTCGCAGATTCGCGTCTGCAGCTCGACCACGATGCTCCTCGTCATGCCCGATAACTGATCGTGGATCTGGACCAGCTGCTGAGAGGAGCAGTTATTAAGTTCCTGTGGTGTCATGCTGTGGCTCAGAGCCTCCACCTCCGCCTGCAGCCGTCCTGCAGGTGTGTGTTCTCCGGCAGGTGTGTCAGGAGTCAGGTTTTTGGGGCAGTCGTCCTCCATGGGACCGTCAGCAGGAATCGGCTCGTCTATCAGCGCTGTAGCTGCAAAAATAAGAGGACGTTTATAAAGTTAAACATTAGTTTGACCTTCTGATAAATACTCAATAGGCGCTTTCACACCGGAGTACTTTTCCCAGTATAGTTCTTGAAATGTTGCGTTCACACCAAAAAAATCCGGAACTAGAACTTAGTTCATGAAAACCTTTTCACCCCCTTTTTAGTCCCTGCTAGAGAGCAGATACTTTCGTGGGAGAAAAAGGTTCCCATTTCTGATTGGCTGGGCGGATTGCAAACCACGCCCCGTAAAACTCGGAAAAGTTTTGTGAAGCCGCCATTTTATTTGCTGGCATTAGCATTATTAGCATTAGCATTAACTCAGCACACCAACGGAGAGAGAATAACTTATGGGAACACAAAAGAAAACATGGGAGCGGTGGAGATGAGGAGGTGTCGGCGTTCTGGCGATTTACTCGGAAGGCTTCAGTAGAAGCTGCTGGGAGTCCCAGCAGCTGCTACTGAAGCCAGTCCCCAACTTTTACCTTTGAATACAAACCGACTTAATAAAGAGTTTTTACACACCTAGCGTCTCTGAGGTCTTGTCGTCTTCATCCTGGTTCTGAGGAGCACTGGTCTCCTCCAGTTCAGAGGTCATCATCTCCAAGTCATCCAAACTCTTCAACTCATCAAAGCCTCGTCCTTTACGCTGGAAGAGAATAATCCAAAAGGTCAAATACAATAAATATACCTTTATGTGTTTGTTTTGCAAAATTGTATCATTTGTATTTATGCAGCGTGACATCAATGCTTTTGCAACTTTGGAGTCCCCTGGCTTACTTGTTGTTCGTAGTTCTTTAGCGCCTTTTTGACGTTGGAGATCTTCGGGGAGCGAATTGGTAAAGTCTTGATTTCAGTGGGAGTGAGAGCGCTGAGGTCGCCGACAGTTTTGATGTTTCTGGCTCGAACCAGCTGCCCGAAACCCCGAGACCTATGAGGAGAAACAGAAGCAGTTACAAACAGATGCACCTGATAAAACAATATATTTAAGAAAGGTTAAATATTTACTTGACTCACCACATGTTGGAGGAGATCTGCGGCAGCACAGCTTCTACTGGCGCCGAGCAGCCGACCAGAGCAGGGTAGATGCAGTCTTTGGAGACGGGACGATCCTTGCTCATTTCGGAAATCTAGAGGAACAAACAAGTTTGCATCTACCATCAAGACAACAGTTTCTAACTGTAAACCAACACCTGCGATGATGCATCACAGAACATTATTATCCAGCTCTGCAGCGACCCACTCATTTTGTTTTTACAGCTAATTTAACAAAAGGGGGAGTTTACCAATCTTCCAAATCAAAGTCTGTTTACAGGTCGAGACAACAATTGTCAATTACGACTTAACACATTCTAGTGGAGGCAGGTGGGAATGTTATTAAAATGACAATCGCTAAAACCCTTGAAGCTTAGTTAGAGTAACTTAGTTTAAGGCTAAGCAGATCCACGCCCGTGTTTAATCAGCACATTTTACTTCAGTGCATGTCATTAAGAGGACAGACGGCTAGTGGGCTACATTTGTCAAAAGTGTTTTGGATATCACAAAATCCACTTTTTAGAGCCAGATATTTATCTTACAAGTTGGTGTAAGCCAAATTATAGCTACAAGTAAGTAAAGTCTTCATTTTGCAGCATACCAGGCATTTCTTGGAGCTCTTGTAGCCTGGACTGTGCAGATTTCTGGGACTCAGGATCAGCAGGCCCTTTGTTGGAGTCGTGACATACTAGAATAAAGAGAAGGAGGGTTGTTGGATTGAAGTTTGGTTCATGTGGTACAGAAATAAAAGGCGATGTAAACCAAACGCACGCGTCATTAATACCTTTGGCTGTGGGATACAGCTGCCTTTGTTTCTTCTCGGGGAGCTGGTTCTGAGCGCAGGGCTGCGACGATCAATGTCGTCCGCAATTTCCTGATGTTGGATCGGATTAGCAAAAGACACACGCCTCGACTGCAAATGGGAAATAAAAAGAGTTACTTTCACTGACATTACAAACCAATTTTCCATTTTCACATTTCACCAGCGTGTTGTCACTTACTTTGATAATGGGTGAGGGAGTCTCATCCTCGAGCGGTCTCTTCAGACCCTTCTTAAGGATACTTGTGGATGGGGAGGCTGTAGGAGACCAGGTTCCTCTGGTCCTGCTGCTTGGGCTTTGGCCGAGATCTGCCGCCATTAAAGCCTCCAGGTCCTTCTGCTTCACTGGAGAAACTTGAGCCAGAGCAGCATCCAAATTTGCGACAACATCGTTCAAACTGTGGAGGGCTCGAGATTCCTCTTCGTACTGACGCTCTAAAATGGCGCTTTCTGCACTGGTGTACTCTGTGTGCTGGTATGTTGATTCGCCTTCTTTGCTAGAGGTGGACTGTTCTTCAACCTTTGACAAATCATCGATGACATTTTGACACTCGGGAGAGACTTGTTCAACGAAAGTAGTGTCACGGTCTTCAGCTTCTTCCTCCGCTGGAATGACCTCCAGATCCTCGGTTGGAACGACCTCCAGATTCTCGGCTGGAACGACCTCCAGATCCTCGGCTGGAACGACCTCCAGATCCTCGGCTGGAACGACCTCCAGATCCTCGGCTGAAACGAACTCCAGATCCTCGGCTGTAACGAACTCCGGATCCTCGGCTGTAACGAACTCCGGATCCTCGGCTGTAACGAACTCCGGATCCTCGGCTGTAACGACATCCGGTTCCTCGGCTGAAACGACATCCGGTTCCTCGGCTGTAACGACATCCGGTTCCTCCGCTGAAACGACATCCGGTTCCTCGGCTGAAACGACATCCGGTTCCTCGGCTGAAACGACATCCGGTTCCTCGGCTGAAACTGGAGGTTCTTGATCCATTGAATCTGAACCATCCTCTTGTTTCTCTGCAACTTCCTCACTAGGCTCAGCAGCTTTCTCCTCTGAAGACTCGGAGACCTGGAGTTTTTCTATCAACTCAACAGAGGGCTCCAGTGTGTCCTCAACAGAAGGGTCACATGGCAACTCTTCTTGATTCTGTTCAGTACTGATTCCAGCTGATTCAGGCATATCAGCAGAGGGCAAGTCTCCAGTGTCCCCTTCCTGTGAAGAGGTCATCTCAGTAACTTGAGTTTGCTCCTTGAGAGGTGAAGCGGTGAGCGATTGGCTCTCCTTTGCGTTGTCAACATCATCAACCTCCACCTCCTTCTGTGATTCTGCGTCACCTTGCTCCTCAGTGTTTATCTGGAGCGATTCAGAATTCTGAGATTCCTCTAAGTCCTCCAAGTCTGCTTTAGCTTCTACACTTTGTGATTCTGCCTTTTGAGAAGCATCAGAATCACCTTTGACCATATCGTTAGTAATTTGGCTTTCTTTAGATTCAACGGTGAGAGGACATGGAAGAGACAGTCGAGGTTTCCTTCCCCTCTTTTTGGGCATTGGGGGATCTTCTTTGGCCTCTTGGCTTTCAGACTCTGTACTGGCGACTGGTAACACTTCAGAAGTTCTACGTACGGATTTGCCTCTGCCTTGGGAGGACTTGGCGGTATCTAAAGACTGAGAACTTTCTGGGGTTGAGATAGGACTCGACTCTGAGGGATCCTCTTGTACTTTGACTTTTTTGGGCCTACCTCTCTTTCTGGCCTCCGGCTGACTGTCAGCTGTCAGTGAAGCCTGAGAATTAGACCTGCTCCGCCTTTCTAATGAATCCTTATTCTCACTTTTACTTTCAGACCCCGTTGCCTCAGATGATGCCTTGCTTCTTCCGGATCTGCGCCGAGACTGGCTTTCAGAAGATGAGGGGGTGATCACTTGAGAGTCCCCTTGACTAAGGTCATCATCTGTGGCTTCCCTTGTCTTAAGTTGGTCTTTAACCTCCGATTCATTCACCGACTTCTCTGTCGTGCTCGTTGTATCTCCGGACTCGTCATTAGTTGAAGGAGAAGCGATTATCTGAGAATCTTTCTTTTCATTGTTGGGCTTTTCTATAAGCTCGGACTCTTGGGATTGGCCCTGAATTTGAGGAGAAGCGATCATTTGAGAGTCTTTTTCTAGCTTTTCACCATCTTGTACAGTCTGAGAATCAATGTCATTGTTGGTCTGTTCTTCAATCTCCATCTCTTGGGGTATGGCACTAGTTTGAGTGATTATTTGAGAATCTTTCTTTGGCTTTTCCTCATCCTCATTAGCCTGTTCTACAACGTCAGCCGAATCCTTTTTCTCCTTGTGCTCCATCGATGCTTTGCTCCTCTGCCTTTGCTTACCCTGTGACTGACTTTCATTATCAGCCAGCAAATCAGTTTGGCTGGAGTCTCTGGTGCTTCGCCTTTTGGGTTCAGGTTCATCAAGGAAGTCCGCCGAATTGTTGAACAGTTTGATCTTCTTGTTTGCTTTTCTCTGAGAGTTGGTTAGGTTCGACTCACTCTTGTCCCTCTGAGCCCTCGTTCGTAATCTGCCATTGTCCTCCTCAGCAACCGGTGTACTTCTTGTGTTTGGCCTGCTCGACTTTGAAGAATCACTTTTAGGTTCCTCTCCAGAATGTCGCCTTTTCAACAGCGTGTTTTTATCTTCAGGGTTCTCTCCAGGCAGCAGAGGTCTGACTCTGGTGCGCCCAGAACGTCTTCGTTCGCTTTGAGAAGTCTCCGACAGAGAAGATTGAGAATTATCTAGAGCCGCATCAGATTGCTCTTCCTGGCTTGAGGGTTTTGTTTCCTCTGATGACGAGGCACTTTTTGTACTTTCTTTGTCCTCCCCTTCAGTCTGGGTGTCAGGGATAACGTCTTCGTCCTCTGTTGGGTCGATGGCCAGTCTCACAGTCAGCTTTACCGGCTCAGTTCTTTTTCTAGAGTCTTTTGGTCTTACAGGGGACTCAAAAGCGTCAGTCACAGGACTCGCCGATTTAACTTTCCCTGTCTGAGAGGACTGGGAACCTTGGGGTTTAGGACTACTGGATGTCTGTGAAACCTGAGAGGACGACTTTGCGTTGGAGCGTTCTTGGCTATCGGAGGTCTTTATTAGGGGACCTGTGAAAGTACTGCTGGGACTACCAGCTTTCCCCTCAGCATACTTCTCCAGAGTGATGAAGGACTGACGGCGACTGTTTTGTTTCTGAGGAGTCCCAGAGACCAAATCTGAAGAACCAGAGATGTCAGGACTTGGGCCTTCTTTAGACTGCATTTCCAAGTCTTCTGCTCTATCACTAATGGTATCGTCCTCCATAGAAACATCTCTGGAATCAGGAATCATATCTTCCTGAATACGGTTTTCAGGCATAGCATCTACTGCTTTTGGACTGGCATAGTCTTGAGTGTCTTTGGTTAGAACTTCATGGTCTTCCTCTGTTTCAACATCTTCCTGAGGAACCTGGAAGAAACCAAGTAAACAGTAACTAAATAAATGTGGAAAGGACAAAATAGAAGTTTTTTTAAGTGTAAAGAAATGCAAACTTGTGAATTTTTTTATTCAAAGTGATGAAGAATTTAGTTCTAGTCCCAAATGACAGCCAAGTCATCATAGGCCTTTCCTGTTGAAGCTTTTAAGTGCTTCAATAACTGTCTGTCATTAAAAAAACAAGAATATTCTGTGTGTGAAAAACTACTCCATAAATGTAATGTGCTGAAGCTGGTTTTAAGATGGTGTACCATTTAAATTGTGTTTTTATCAGAACATATGGGAGATAATCTGATGCAATTTCACAATACCCCATTTGATTATAATACCTCCTGGATGCCTCATGGGGAGGAGACTCTTGAGCAGCACATTATGTAAAGATTAAACATCTGGCCCAGAAAAGCTTGAGATCCCCCAGGAAGAGTTGGAGGGCCTGTTAGGAAACCTGATCAGAAACTGTTACGCGAATGACCCGATTCCTGCTTTTTAAAATGTGTTTTGCCTTGTTGGTCAGCAGTCTTCCTGGATATTTATAATTTGTGAGCTGGTATATGCACAATCCTGCTACTTGTTCGAGCTCCAATTATTTATGTAGTAGCAGTGTTAAATTCATTAATGGGAACATCTCCAACTTGAAAAAAAAAACCTACAATTTCTCAAATACACAAGAGCTGTGTTTTAGCAACCAATAAACAAGTTTTTGTTTTATTCATTCTGGCTTTAGCAGACCCCTGTGGAGTCTTTCCTGTCAGTGTTTTTTCCCCGTTGTTTCATTACCTTGCCAGTAGCCTCCTCATCTGTAACCTTGTCAGCTTGTTCAGATGCCAGTTTGTCCCTGTGGGGGGAAAATGTTTTAGTTTATGAATGCTGAGTTTTTATTAGAGAGCAGGGATTTATCTTGATGACACTCAGAACTTACGAAGAGTCCTCTTGGCTCTGGGTGTACTGGGTGAACACCGTCGTATCCAGAGAGGCATCAAGGTTGTTGTACATGGCAGGGATGTCGACCCTGTGAGCCAAAGAAAACATTAGATTTACACAAGACTGACAACATGGACGCCACTGATTGACTCATGTAAACAAACAAGAGGACCAAACTGACCTTTTTGTCCTTTTCACCTCCTTCTGGTGCTCAGTCAGCACTCGCTCCTTGGTCTCAGGAGGAATAAAGACGAAGTCGATGGAGGCCTCTTCGTCCAAAACTCCTCTGCGGGGGGGCTTCGGGGAGCCAAAGTCAAGCTTTGTCTTTTGTAGAGAAAACAATGGAAACAGAGTTGTGCAAGATAGTTAGCAATTAAAGAAAATAGGATATAGTTTACAGTCACTATATTCAATGTCCTCACATGGTAACAAAATGCTTTCCATTCTTAAATGAACGGGAGATTTCTTATCTTACTTAACCATCTTTTGCAGCACTACATTTTAAAGAATATCATTGCCAGTAATAAAAAGATGGCAAAGCAACTGGTAAAGAAATATATAAGTAAGTATGAGCCAACACATGGTGTATAATACTATTTCTGCACTATCATATCCATACATCATGGTGAAAATATTTTACATTTTGTGTGCAAATACCCTTTTGCCTTGCATGTGAAGAGCTTTTTCTTATTATCAAATGATCAAATGTTTCAATCACAGACCAATCAGGCTTCAAATACACAATATGAGAAACACCCGAGATGAGACATTAAATATTTGTGTCTAAATATGTACATATGTTTATCCATCTCACAGTATGCATGCATGTTGGTTTATGTACACACTTTGGTTTTAGTGAGACTATAGAAACAGAGCAATCGTGTCAGTTTCTTAAACTTTCAGGTCTCCAAATATGTGTGGACTTTCCAGTCATTATAATGTTAAGTATTTATAATGTTAAGTATTTAAATTGCAATCCTGTGGTTTTTAAACAGCATCGTTTTTTTCTGACGATGTTTAGATTAATATTTGGTGTTTCCCTCATGATGAACTTACAGAAACGGGTTTGGAGGTTTTCGGTGATCTCTTGTTCTGGAGCTCAGCAGCCTTCAGCAGAGAGTCTCTCTTCCCCACAGACGACACCTGGATGCCACTGAGTTTCGTTTCCAACTGGGAACTGTCACTCTGAGGAAACACACAAGAACAGCCACACATAACAGCAATGACAACAACAAACAGTGGCTACAAAATAAATCACAACACTAAGAAGTTAAAGCAACTTACTGAATACTGTCCACTGAGATCATCGGGAACATCGACCACCTCGAAGCCAGGGAGGATGATCGGGGTCTTCTGCTTCACCTTGCTCAATATTGGTCTGTATAAAGAATATGGAAACATGGATAAGACTGACGTAATTACACCTAAATATGTTTATTTCAGGAGGTCATGAAACAAATAAGTTTCCTTTGTTGCATTGCCATTGTTATTTGTATGTTAAAGTTAGGGCTGCTCAATTAATCGTATTTTAATCGCAATTACGGCTTGCAACGATTACGAAAACAACGTAACCGAAATAAAACGATTATTTTTGTATTACTTTTTCTTTTCTTTTTTTCCTAATTAATTTTAAAGTGGACCAATCATGCTATATTTGAATAATATAGTGTAGGACCATACCTATATAAGGCATATTTATACTTTTTTTTTTCAAAATACCAAACAGATCATGCATTTTAGCCATGCCTCATTTTGCTCAATTTGAAAAATGTTAGCTGTGTTTTTGCAAGGGCTGATTCTGTGAGAACAGCACCATCTACAGGCCTGGCATATGTACTACAGCGTCTCCAGCGCTTTCGAACGGCAATGGCCGTGGCTGTCTCCTCCTGATTGGTGGAGTTGGCCCAATAGCCGTAGCGCCACCGTCCTGACGTCAGGACAGTGTTCAAATCTGGATCAGTTTTTATCAGATCCGTTGCAGCCCCTTTTTTTAGAGATTTGGGTATGGAGGAAAATAGAGAGGGTTGTGTTTTCTGACACTTGGTGAGTTCCCTGGAACACCGGGGACACATATTCATGTATAAAAGACGTACAAAAGTGCATTTTGCATGATAGGTCCCCTTTAAGTTAAGTAAAATTGTCCGTACAGAGAGGCCTTAGCCGGATTCAGTTATATATTTTTGCTTTGTTTACGGTTTTCAAATTGTGTTGTTAATTTCCCTTTGTTTTGTTTCTAATTATTAATAAATACTCATGTCTGTATTATTTTGGTGCTAAAATCTAAAAATGTGCGATTGTCAATTGTTTTTTATTTTTTAATTTGTGATAGATAAAAGATTTTTTTTAAAAGCTGAGTTTCATTTATCACATGACGCAGGTAAGGAGAGCTGACTATTGAGTAGATGGCAGACAATTTAAGGTTTAAGTGAAAAGTAAAGTGCCTATTTGGCAAAATGTGGCATTCAAATCAAATGGTAATCGGCAACCTGAGGATAATCTACTTAATCTGTAAACTTTGTCTCACGAAAGTGGAAGCACCTGGATGTGATACCGTTAGTCTACACGCACAAACACACCTTTTAGCGCACCAAAAGCGTGAGACGACAAAAATGTGCATCTTGTTTAGTAAACTGTCCGGTCTACAATATGTGGCATCCCTACATTGCAGCATTAAATATGAGCTGAAGATTTTCACCTGATCTCCTCGGGGTAGGTGAGGCTGGCTGAGTTTCCGAAGCTGGAGTTCCAGAAGTGAGCGACGGCGGTGCGGAGCTGCTTGTTCTTGTGAGGAAACATCACACACAGCAGAGGAGAGAGAAGAGCCAGGAGTTCATCGTTGTACGCCAGCGTGGAGCGAGTCTGCAGGCAGCCGAGCACGTCGCTGAGGAGCTTCTCCAACTGAGAGAGGAAGGCACACTTTAGTGGATTGAGATCACTTTTTTTCCTTCACATTCCCCTTTACATCCAATAGTACTGCAAGTTGGATGAACAGTTTCTTTAACAAGGGGTCACAACATGTTTAAGGTCTCAAATCCTAAAAAAAATTTACTGGAGAATGTGAAAAACTAAATGTATAGAAATCAAATCAATAATAAAACTGAGGACGTGAGATGACGTTCTAAGAGAAAGATTATCTTTTGATCCCGTTGTGCCACGAATTACAAATATGATGTTTGTCAATTTAAAAAAATGTTTTGCAAGTCAACATTTTTTTTAAATGTGTCGTAAAACTGTGAAGTAACACTTTTTTTGGTGTGAAACCGCTGAATGAACTACATCTCCCGTCTCGCACCACACACCAAGACGGCCGTCACGTTGGCACATTTCACTTCTTTCTTTCAGAATGAGGCGGAAAGTATTAAAAGAGGTGAAAATCACTCCAAGTCTGGGCATGTTGAGAGCTGTACATACACACAAGGGGAGTTAGTCGGTTCCTAAGAGCCAGCATGCGGGACCGGGACTCTGGGATTTGTAGTCTTTCTAGTTGCGTATTTTTCATAGTCTTATATTTCAACAGTTTTACGACAAACTGTGACTTTTTTTTTTTTACATGGAAATAATTTTTTAAGATTGACAAACATCATATGTGTAATTCGTGGGACAATTCAAACGGGATCGAAAGATACGTTTTCTTTCGCCATTGACTTCAATACATACTTTTTCCGAAATAAGGTCCCATGGTGGTCACCGGAAAGGGAGGGACTTTGCCTCTCTATTTAGAATCATTGAGGTTCAGCCCCATAACCATGATAATCAACATCCATAACATTCATCTGGCTGCTACTTAGAAATGATTGATCTAATATATCATATTCCAATAACTTGTATATAGACTCTTATTGCACTATTTAACTTTTTGTACTATTATTCTTTTTGCATTTACTATTTACTTGCACTATTTTTTTCTGTTTTATTGTGTTGCACTGTTGGAGGAGCCTGTGACCTAAGATTTTCATCGTCATAACTACACTGTAGCTATGTTCGTATGACCAATAAAAGCCTTGAACCTTGATGTTCACACTTTATTTTATAGCAGGTTTGAAGTTCAGTGAGTCCTGCCTCTATTGTCCGCATAATATATGTAATACATCGATGTGTGCTTTCATTATGAACTACAGAAGGCTAAAAGAGAATATTCAAATATATTCAAGGATTGTATAGACTTGAAAAATGAATCAAAAGAGAATTTCCCCCCCAAAAAATAGGCAGGCACTTATCATGCTATTTTTAGGCATATCTTATGGGTCTCAGATATATACAAATATATAAAAACATGTCTATGATGTGTTTTGCTCAAAATACAAACAGATCATGCATTTTAGACATCCCTCATATCCCTCTGGATTTTGGGTCCTTAGCTTAAAAAAAAGAAAGAAGAGGAGGCCGAGCTAATGCCTGCTCAGAATTCTACCGGGGATAAAGTTAAATTCTGCTGTGATAAAACGCCATCCTGTTCTAAACCACATCAAGGATTATTTCTGAAACAGTATGGAGCTCAAATGCAAATCTGTATCCACTCGTTGTACCCCCGTTTTTTTAAAGATTTGGGTACGGAGGAAAAGAGAGAGGGTTTTATTTTCTGACTCTGCGTGAGTTCCCCGACACACCGGGGGACACATATTTATGTATAAAAGACATAAAAAAGTGCATTTTGCATGATAGGTCCCCTTTAAAGGGTAAAATCCTTTAAAGTTAAAATGCATTATTGGGCTTATGGATAGGAAATGTACCTGCAGGATTCTTGCTTTGTTTGTTGTAAGACACTTTGGATAAAAGCAGCTGCTAAATGTAATGTATTTATAACTGTGTCTCCATATGACGAAGAACCCACCTTTGCCTGCAGCTGAGAGGAGAATTTGGGCGGCTCACTGGCTGCTTGTTTGCAGAACAGAGTGAGAGGAGGAACCAGAGAGTTCAGAGCTTCTGTGACGGTGTTGGGGAGACTGAAGTTTGTGAAGAGAGCCGACATGACGGAGGCCAGAGCGAGTCCTGTGGCGTCAGAGGAATCTTCCTCCAGAAAAACCTCCAGACAGTGGACCAGCAGGGACTGGAAGGTGGACAGATTCCCCAAAACCTTGTTCTTTTTCTTCATCCAGTTCACAGGAGTGTGAGGAGCTGCGAGAAACAAGCGTGAATACAAGTTAAGTTATGGATTTAATGAAAGTGTGAAGACTTAGACAAGGTTAGGTTCTCTTACACTTTAGCTTTTGCTGAAACTGAGGAGAGTACGGCGAGAAGTCCACACACTCCACCATGACCTGGAGGATACTGGACACTGCATTTAATGTGGAAGGAACCTGGAGGATCACAGCAGGAATATGTTATAGTATGTTGTTTGCAAAATACATTTAACCCTCCCATTGTCTTTGTTTCCCCCCCCCCTTACTTTGGTGTTTGCGGTCCAATTTGACCGGTCCTGTTTTAACTGCTATTACATTAACACAAAAACCATTAATCACCAAATTTAATTGAACACCCTTTCAAACTGTAAATATTGTATCAGACTACTGGTATACATGAAAAACTGCTGTAAATATACAAAGAATAGACACTGAACATGTATTGCGTGTGCCAGGTGTGATCCATGTGGGGGGATGGGCACATAAGAGCGGGAAATGTATCAAATTGTTGTGTGTGTGTGCCAGGTGTGATTCGCATGGGGGGATGGGCACATAAGGGGGTGGAACACATCTAGAGAGAGAGAGAGTGTGTGTGTGTGTGTTTTATCTGATCCGGATGGTTACTAATTCCTTTTCTTTATGGCGGTCATTTTTGACCGGGAACACCATGGGTGTTACAAAGTTGACTAAATCATCCAAAATTCAATGAAAGTGGTGATCAGCAATTTTATATTTTCAAATGTCTACTGTGAAGGACATCATAAAGCCTTGATGCAATCGAATGTAAAACTAAAAAGTTATGATTGATGAAAGTAGTAAATCGGTCAGATTTGACGCGAAGACAACAGGAGGGTTAACCAAATATTTTCACCACTTTTAATGACCTACCAAGTCAATTTTCTTTTCAGTGTGTGTTTTGATGAATTTAATATTTAGAAAAACATACAGGAATAGATAACATGTATGGGAACAGTTGTCCTGAACAGGGCACAGCAGCTACCTCCAATTCTTAAATGTTATCATTTTGATTAATATGAGAAGAATATTTCTAATTTGAAAGAAAATTCTGACAATACCAAAATGTACAAACTGTTAAGGAATAATTCTTCTAGATATCTAACCTTTTGCTCTGTGACGTTTTATGATCTACTCTGACGCCTGTTATCTCCTTTAAGGAAAGGCCTTGGTGCCATATGTGTTGTTGTCACCAGTTTGTGACCGGTCAACTTGTCTGGCACGAAGGGTAATTGTTGTGAGAACGCTGAGGCACTTCTTTATCGGTGTTTGTGGACTCTTTAGGCCTAGGCTCCACGGGGACGAAAAAGATGTGAAATCTTTGAGGCCATGAGTGTCGGACGCAGGTGGTTCAGTGTTCCCAGCTGTTTAGTCTACTCCTTCAGAGATGTTGATTTCTCTCTGTGAACCTGTTAAAAGGTCTAGCATAGAGAGAGGTTCTTCAGAATTGACGTGGCAACTCTACCGTGTGGTCAGAACCTCTGACTCTTTGATTTGTGATGTGAATCCTCCGGCCGAATACTCTGAATAAACCCATCAGTGTTTGACATCAAAGCTCCAACTCTCACCGTGTCTCCTTCCTGAGTCGGTGACTCCCACTGCATTGCTACACAGAAGTTTCCCCCACAAATCACACGATTAAAAACTGTGGGAAATTGATAGGATCGTTTTCGTGTCTCCTTGCCGCTACAATTCCCTTTTTTCCCCTGATCTTCGTTGAATCAAATGTTGACATCTTATCCAGGTAGGTTGGGTACTCCATACTTCGCTCAATGACCATATATCTTAGTTTGGATGCTAACATATAGCTGTGATTACTTGTAGACTATTCTGCACTATTTCTATTATATTCCGTTTTATTTTCTTGCACTAGTATCAGTTTTGCCCTGATGGAGGAGCCTGTGACCTAAGATTTCCATTGTCATAACTACACTGTAGCTACGCACAAATGACAATAAAAGCCTTGAATCTCATTGCTTTAATTTGCCAGCTGTTTTCCTCTCTCACCATCAGGGCGTCTCTGTCCATCACAGCGGCCATCTTCACGCACAGCTCCTCGCAGCAGATGTTCTCCTCGGCCGTGACCACCAGCGCTGAGCAGCGAGCGAACACTTTGTACAGTTTGGACCACGAGGACAGCATCGACTTCTGAGCCGCCTGAACAAAACACAGGAAAGAATCAGACACTGGTAAAAGTATAATAACTATAATAGTAATAATAATAATAAAGCCTTATTTGTAGAGCACTCTTCATATACCAGGCGCAGCTCAAAGTGCTTTAACAAGGCACAAATTAACAAGAAATTAACTTCGGGTCAAACGTTTAACTTTTTTGTACACATGAAGCATTTAAACATAATATTACATTTCAAGGGACACAAGGAGGTAAAAAGGTGTGATAATACAAATACAATACAATAAATGAAATAATGATCCCTTTAGGTAAAATAAAATAAAAAGGCAAAATGGATGTATATAATAAAATATAGAAAATGTTAAAAGAATCAATAAATGATAAGAATAAAGATTTAAAAAGACCAACTTAAAGAGAAAATAAAACTATAACATAAATATTAACAAAAACCTATAAAATAAATAAAACAATATAAAAATAAATAAATAGTAAAGATGCCATGAAGATACCAAACCTATAACAGGGTTCATATACTTTTTCACCAATGATTTTCAATGACTTCTCCATGACCTTTACCTAATTTTCCATGACCAAAGAAATTACTCTTTCTCAGCGGTACCACTGAAAATGGTTTATTTTAACATGGAACAGGAAAATAAGGTCTGCATATGAAACATGTTGTGCCTATCTAAAACAAATCAAATAGTAGGCTTACTAGCTTCTACACGCTAAAGCAACTAAAATACCTCGTCAGTTAAATGCCATTTTAAGTTTCATTACTATACGATACAGTATTTATTAGATGGATAAAATATAAATTATATTTGATGCAAATTTAGTTACATTTCCATGACTTATCCAAAACTTTGGGAAAAATATTGTTTTCCATAACCTTTCCAGGGCCTGGAATTAGCATTTTGAATTTCCATGACTTTTCCAGGTTTTTAATGACCGTAAGAACCCTGCTATAAGCTTTATAATTGATTTTAAAATCAATTCTTAAAAGACACTGGGAGCCAATGCAGTGCAGCTAAAACAGGATTAATGTGCTCTCTTTCTGGTGGATAAACAGAATTTGGAGCAGGACCTCATCGCCTTTTAAGGACACACAGAGTGTTTCTCAATGTCGAGGAAGGCTGCTCTAGAGCCACTATTTCAAGGATGCTACGTCATCGAGTGCCGCCGAAGGACTGTTCCAATGTCCAGCATACTTGGAATTCTACCGAGGCCGGTATACTTCGTTGCGGGAAATTTCGAGGCTGCACATGTGTAGACTCCGGTCTTAAAATCCCCACAATGCTTTGCGCACGGACCAATTTCCAAATCTTTGGCAGAAATCGCGCTCCATTTAAGGCGGGGCCTCGCATATGACGCACACCTGCACACCTGTTAGCCTGTTCCACAATTCTTCGTTTTCCGAGGCTAGGAAGGATTCTTGCCTCGCTTCTGAAGGACCTGACTCGGAGGGACATGTCCTACCAAGGAAGCGTCCTCGACATTGAGAAACACCCAGAGGCATACAGATTGATCTTCATGCAGTAAAAAGATATAAACGGACCTGCTGTAGTGGGGTGCCGCGCAGCAGGTGTGTGACGGGGAACAGCAGCGCAGAGTGCACGGCGCTGAAGTTGTGCTCCAGAGCGTCTCCTTGGTTGACTTCATTCGACTGTAAAAAAAGAGATTGATGGAAAACGTAAAGTTTATTTACTGCTCTGTTGGCAGACTCAGGAGGAAACGCTTCACTTTAACGGTAACACAGCTTCTCCAATCACAAATACACGTTCAGGTTTGTAAGCTTAATCATCACCGACCAGAGCCTGTAATGCACTGCTCCTGGTACTAGACTCCTGGTACTAGACTCCTGGTACTAGACTCCTGGTACTAGGATGGGTTAAATGCAGAGGCCAAATGTCACCGTGTGTGCTCTGCATGTGTGACCATTACAGAGGGTTTCATCCCTCCCAATTCTATTCTTCTATTCTGGTAAAAGATGTTTATTAGGTTATAGTTTTTCATTTAGTTAAACTATTTGTACTGGAATCAAATTATCAAAATCAAAATTATGAATACACACACTGAGTATAAATAAATACAAATACTGAACTAATACTGTGAGAGTTCCTGTTTTTGTTTGAACTGCAAAAAGGGGTACTTATTTGAAGCAGGGTCCAGTGGGTTTATTTTTTTGGATAGGTTAACTTGTTTCTTCTAAACTGTACTGCCAACCACCCCATGCAAGGCAAATAAGTCACCACTAACTGTCATTACTTGGGGGGTTAGTTGTTGCACAAGAGTCATAACCCCCATGCTGATAAATATATCAAAACATTTTTATTGACAATGACGCAAAAACAATTGGCTTGAACAGGACAACAAATCCACACCAAAACAGATGTGTCCTCCTTAGATTTGAGTTTTCTAATAAAGCGACTAAATGAAAGTGTCCGCCCACCTGTGTGATGGTGTCTGTGAGCGGGCTGACCACCAGGCTCCACATCCTCCACAGCTGCTCCTTGTTCTGCACGGAGGCAGCGCTGCGCCTCACGGCCCCCAGCACCGCCTCCCCAAACGCCAGAGGGGAGGTGGGGCCCGACAGCCCGCAGCCCACCAGCGTCTGGAGGCACTGGAAGAACCTGCAGACACAAAGAGAGTATATCAATCAATGTTTATTTATATAGCCCAATATCACAAATGTTACATGGACTTCACAGTTTGTAGAGAATATCAATATGACAATACGACACCCTCTGTCCTTAGACCCTCACATCATACAAGGAAAAACCTCAGAAGAAACCCCACAGTTTAAAGGGGAACATGGGAGAAACCTCAGGGAGAGCAACAGAGGAGGGATCCCTCTCTCAGGACGGACAGACGTGCAATAGACGCCGTGTGTACATTGAAAAGATAATACATTTAAAACATAGGTAGACCAAATGTTTGGAAATGCATGTGTCTATAATAAGATAAGCAACACTCCTTTAGGAGGTATGTAACAGGTCACAGCCGTAGGTGACTAGTTATCAATGGAGGATGTGGAAGAATCGACAGCAAAGCATTTATTCTGAGGATAACAAACAACAATGCACACGTCACTGTGAGGGGAGGGCGGAAAAGACATACAGGAAGTAAACAAAGACGTGCAACGGGAAAGTGTTCCCACGGGAAACATAACTCAAAAATATTAAATGAAACAATCTCATAGAAATACAATTCACAACTTATTATAAATTCACAAGCTAATTTTAACTGCGTTACACATACAGCAACATGAAGAGTGTGTAGCATTTGTATAAGTCTACAATTAATACTTTAATTTAATTAAAACTACAATGCATTGATGTTTGAGCACAGATTAATAAGACATAAATTATAATGAACATTAGACCCACCTCTCGTCCTCGATGTAGGCGGAGAGCATGCTGCTGTTGTAGAGTAGGAGCACGAGGAACAGAGCCGGCGTTCCCTGAGGATCAAACGTACATTTCAATAAACCGTCTTATGAACATTTCAACAGCTTGTGAATATTTGCTGTACAGAGGAAGGAGAAGTACTCACATTCAGCACGTCCATCTTGCCGACCTGATACGATGCAGAGCCCAGAACTCTCTGAGGAATACCTTTCACTGTGGCCTCGAGGAGAATCTGAGATATAGAAGACTCAACGGTTAAAACGGAGGAGAGATATTTGGATTGTATCCCCTTCAACAACTTCATCAACAGGACGTCAGGAATTAAAGATATTTGAGTCAGACAATTTAAAAAAAACAGCCAGATTAGCAGGCTTACAATACATGAATTTGAAAAAAGGTATCTAAGAGTTAAAAAACTGTAAATAGGTGAAACGGTTTTAGATGAGATTTGTGGTTTTTCTAAGGAAAATAATGTTTGTTGATCTTAAAATGGAGCTAAATAAACTAAATACATTTAAAAAAAGGCTGTAACTTTATTTGTTTTAACATCAAATCATTAAAGATCCGTTATGAATCATTAAAATACTACATGTTGGTAAAGTGTTCACAATTACACTTCTAAATTAATATACATTTAGAGGATTATTAAACTTCATAACTAAATTCTAGACCGTGTATGGGCCACCTTTAAAGTCGTTTTGTCTGAATGAAACACAATACAAATATGACCTTTAAATGGAGGTGATATTTTTAAATGATTAAAGGTGGGGTAGGTCATTTTGGAGAAACCAGCTCGAGTGCGCTCGAATTTGAAAATACACAACCGGAACAAATCTGCCACTTCCTTACAGAGCCCCTCCTCCAACACACACGAACGCGCACATGACCAATGAGGGCACAAGAGATAAGTTTGTGCACAGATGGAAGGCTGACAGGCAGGTAGGCCATCCAGTTATTTTAGCCGGGCCGGCTCAAATGATTGGTCGTGCTTTTTACAGTATTACGGCTTCCACAGATGACATTTTTTTTTATGGATTTTTTAAGAGCATTCCATGGAATATAACAAAAAGTGTATCTCGAGCCGGTTTCTCAAACTTACCTACCCCACCTTTAATTAAATGTATTCTGTGTACATTTGTAAATTGAGTTTAAGTTCGGTTCATGTAAGATGAAGCATCAGATTTTACGTTTATTTAATCAGTCTCACCAGCACTTTGGCTGCCGGCAGAGCTTCTGAGGCGACGATGCTCTGCAGAGCCTGGAGCATCAGAGTCAGGACTTCCCCTCCGTGACGATCCTTCTTACTGCCTGCTGACCAACAACAACAACATTAAACTCAACAACAAACCTCTTCTCCTATCTGCTTCAGAGAAAGACATGAGTCTAGTTTGAGAGGAGAGGGTCATCATTGGGGACGAACCCCTCAGAGTTTGTCTCTCTTCACTGCAGTCGAGACCACGAGGATCCGACCGCTCCGACTTAAACTGATGTAACGTGGGAGTGGGTCGGGGGGGAGAGGAGGACGGGGTCTCTGATCCTCCTCTCATGTGACAGCCCTGATCCAATCACAGTGCTCTATGTGGTGCTGCGAGGCGGGAACCACGACTTTAAGATCCACACAGCTGAGCAGCAGCCACAACGACAATTTAAATTATTCTCTATTAAGACAATTAAATATAGCAGCAGGAAAATCACTTATTAATCTAATCAACATTTATAGCCCAATATTTAAAAAAATAACAGGTTTGTCTCCGTGGGCTTAACGATTAACGAACATAGATGACGGTGTTACAAGCAAACAATGAAAAGACAGGATAAATAAATAGAAATAGAATAAAAATAAATTTAATTTAAAATAAATACATATGTAGGACAAACATAGGGTCTTCAGCACACTCTTAAAAGTGTTGCAAGACCCTACTTTTTAAAGCTGGCATCAAGTAATCAAAGTTTGTTATGGACTTTATTAAAATGATAATGTCAAACTTTAAAGTCAAAATGTAATTCCTCAACAGCCTCATAATTTTCCACATGATTTAATTTTTTTTAAATGTTCGCATTTGGAAGATGAACACAAGAGCGTGGGTGTTTCTCAATGTCAAGGAAGGCTGCTCCAGAGCCACTATTTCAAGGATGCTACGTCATCGAGTCCCGCCGAAAGACTGTTCCAATGTCCAGGCTCCTTGGAATTCTACCGAGCCCGGCGTCCTTCGTAGCGAGAAATTTCGAGGCTGCACATGTGTATCCTCCGCGGTCTTAAAATCCCCACAATGCTTTGCGCACGGACCAATTTCACCAAATCTTTGGCGGAAACTTTAAGGCGGGGTCTCGCATATGACGCACACCTGCACACTTGCTCGCCTGTTCCTGCCAGGAAGGATTCTTGCCTAGCTTCTGAAGGAAGTGACTCGGAAGACATGTGCTACCAAGGAAGCGTCCTCGACATTGAGAAACACCCCGTGGCACGCATTGCTTTGATAATACTCTCCTCATTGCATATTAAAAAAGGAATAAACCATGAAAGCACTCACCGGACTCTATAGATAAGTTGACAAACCGGACGAGATTCGTCCATAAGACGGAGAGAAGAGAATCTGTGAGAAGAGATGAAAACATGACTTTGTTAAAAAAAAAAAAACAGCCGAAAACAACAACCAGGTTACAGAAGTGGGTGTCCTAGTTTAATTCAACCTGGACAACAATAAATGACATTATTCAAAATGATGACAGAAGGTGGAGAGGGTATTACTGTGTACAAAAAAAACCCACCACAAAATATAATGTTACACCACTGGAAAGAAAAAGCACCCGTGGTGAATTTCCATCGACTCGGTAAAGCTGAGATATTTACCTGGAGCGTCTTTGCCGATGTTGATGAATCCGTCTCTGAGGTTGGAGGTGAGCACAGCGGCATGTTTAGTGAAAGAGGAAGAACCAGAGAGGAGAGGGTGGTTCAAGGGCTCTGAAAAAAAACAAAAAAAACAGATAATTTTATATCCAAAAGATTGAACATAAGGGCAGTAAAAAGCTTGCAGGATGAGAGTGACTTTCCACATGTTTCCATTTCACTATTGGGCAAATTATGATTTCAAACACAATGAAAAAAGTGACGTGTTCCTGTCACTCGATTTAACATTTCAGTCGACTTTAAAGCTGCAGTTTGATTATTGGGTACCACTTTACAATAACACTACCCTTATAAAGGATTCATAAAGGGTTTATAATTAGGTTATGAATTAGGTTGTAAACACTTTATTAATCATTAAGAACCATTTATAAACCAGTTCTAACATAGTTTTCATACATCAACACAGGCTCACTATTTGGCAAGATGACTAAGCCTTATATTGGCTACTTAGCGAGAATCAACTCAGTGAACAACAGATACCAAGGATGCTGGCTGATGAAGAAGACAACGTAAGCTAGGTAGCCAATATAAGACTTGGCAGTACAGATAAATGTGGGCTCACTATTTGGCAAGCAACCGGTCACAGTTGCCCTGTTTATCTCATGTCTTATAAAAGCTTATTAAGGATTTATAAAGTGTTCACAACCTAATAAATAAATGAATTACAAACTATTCGTAAACCCTTTATAAGTGTAGTCTTAGTGTAAAGTGGTACCGATTAATGGAAAGTTAACTTTAAAATCTTTAATGGTAAACTAAGAGTTGGTAAACAAGCAGCCTGTACTCTAGCCACCACCATGCTTATTGATACTAAAACATGGACGTCATTGTTCATTTGGCTGTTTTACCGACAAACTAAGACTGTAGTAGAAGTCGGAGTGTGACTCTCACCGAGACTGAGGGTGAGTTTGTTCTTGGCCGCTGCAGCAGTAACCTCCGGTCCCAGGAAGTAGTGTAGCAGCATCTCCAGGCCCAGCAGCTGGATGGAGGGGAAGCTGCAGAAGACGTGGACGCTGGAGTTCAGACTCATCCGAGACGTGTTGGCCGAGCTGTTGAAGCCTGGAGTGCCGCCTGCAGAGGGAGGACAGAAAATGTTATTAATTTAACAGGGATCGTGCACATTAACCAACATTTCTGTAAATGTGCCAAGAGGCTATTTTTCATCTGTCGTCCCTGGACAGATTTCATTTTAAACAAGTAAATAACATTACTGGAATACTTAAAGGTCACCTATTATGCAAAATCCACTTGTTCATGTCTCTTCTACATCAACATGTGTCCCCTCTGTGGAAAGAGACTCTGAAAGTTTCATGAACAAAGATTCTCTCTCTTTTTGTCCTGATCCATTTATATAAAAACCTGTCTGAAAATGAGCTGATCAGATTTTGGCCACTTTATGATGTCATAACGATGTTTTGGCTTGTGTAACCATTAGCCAATCACCAACCAAGGTAAGATCTTTCTGTGTGTACAAACATATTTTGAGAGTGACAATAAAGTTGACTTTGACTTGATCATGTGACTCCAGTCTCTGGTCTACAGGCCTGGGTGGAGGAAGGTGGATGTGAACGTACCGGTCTTTGGAGTTCCAGGTGGGGCGGCACCGTTCTGACCCACAGGTCTAGAGGGAGTTCCTGGGACTGAAGAGGACTCAGACCCGATGGTGCATTGGAGCAGAGGAACAGAAACCTGCAGAGAGAGAAATACTGATCACTACCAACATAATGTCTAACTCTGCAGTACATCTCGGGAGAAACTGACAAGATATCTACAAGATAACTTTCATTAACTCCCATCATAACTTCAATTGTGCAGTTTTCATGAGGACAACTTGTACTTTTTAAGTCTGAAATGTTACATAATAATGAAAGCATATATTAAAAATGTGTAATTGCACATTTGGAACAGCATTCAACTACATTTACTAAAGATGGTTTGGAACAATTAAAGGTGGGGTAGGTAATTTCGGAGAAACCAACTCGAGTGCATAGAATTTGAAAATACACAACCGGAGAAAATCTGCCACTTCCTTACAGAGCCCCTCCTCCAACACACACGAACGCGCACATGACCAATGAGGGCACGAGATAAGTTTGTGCACAGATGGAAGGCTGACAGGCAGGTAGGCCATCCAGTTACTTTAGCCGGGCCGGCTCAAATGATTGGTCGTGCTTTTTACAGCGCCACGGCTTCCACAGATGACATTTTTTTTTATGGATTTTTTGTCAAAGCACTTAAGATATTCATTGCTATCGGGATGTTAAGAGCATTCCATGGAATATAACTAAAAGTGTATCTCGAGCCGGTTTCTCAAACTTACCTACCCCACCTTTAAGTTTATTTTATTTATATTTTTTATAATTAGTTTTTGGGAATTAAGGAAAAAGTAGTTATGCATTAAAAAAAAAAAAACCTGAAATTGTTGTTTCATTGTGATGGACGCAAGAATTACGAATATACTGCACCTCTTTTTAATAGACAAGTAGAAAAAAAGTTTCATAACCCTTGTATACCAACACTGAAATGTTATGCATGTTTGAAAAATATTCACAAACACATGTGCGTGTTACTTGCTTACAGGTTGCAAAGCAAAAGAGACAGAACTTTAGATTTCTTTGCAGGGTTTTTAAAAACATGATCATACATTTGAATTGTGTTTGGGCCTTTTGTTTGCTGTGTGGAAAAGGCTTCACATGATTTGGATATCAAGACCCTATCTAAAGACAAGAAGCGATTACAGAAAGGTCATTTAACTGCCAACCCAGGGTATATGCAGGAATCCTGAAGTCAAATGTCATACCTTTTAAGACCCTTTCCATACATTTTAAGACCTCATCGCCACTTGGAGTTTTAACCGGTTACCTTGGCGACACACTTTACCTCACATTGACTATATACAGTATTGATTGTCCTTCCTCCTTATCTTCCAACCATTTGGACGCAAACTTGCATTTCCCCATAACGATGTTGTTTAACAACCGGCGTAAACGGACCTTCGCGCGCTATCAAGCAGTGAGCGTGCGATGTCCTGTTCAGATGACGTCAAATCCAACGGGATGCCATAAATAAACTACACAGAATCACACTACACACCTACGCAATGATTACATTCAGGCAGACTGTAGAATACAACCTCTTTGGACAATTTATATACTTATTGAAAACAAGCTACAAAATGTAATACCTTGGAAAATGCCGTTTAATACTTTTTAATAGCCTTAATTTTCACTAAATTGATTTATTAACTTTTAATACTTTTTAAGACCCCGCGGACACCCTGTTGATAAAGATAAACATAAAGCGGCATGACTAACCTGATCAAAGTTGGGTGCCAGGTTTGGCCCGAGTTGGACCACCAGGTACCACCACACCTCCACCTTGGTGAGCATCAGGACCTCCGTCCGCACGTTGATGGAGGCCAGCGGCTGCATGAGGAGCTTCATACGCTTACTGCTGCACAGGATGTCTTCAGGAGGGACATGGAGGAAATCACAACATGCCAAAGCTTAATATAGAGCTCAAAAAAGAGGTTAAAGGTCACCTATTATGCAAAATCCACTTGTTCATGTCTCTTCTACATCAACATGTGTCCCCTCTGTGTAAAGAGACTCTGAAAGTTTCAGGAACAAAGATTCCTCTCTTTTCGTCCTGATCCATTTATATAAAAACCTGTCTGAAAATGAGCTGATCAGATTTTGGCCACTTTATGATGTCATAACGATTGTTTGGCTTGTGTAACCATTAGCCAATCAGCAACCAAGGTAACCCCCCCCACCTTATCACCTGAATCTCCTCCTAGAGCACCATTGTGTTCTTTTTAACCAAATATCTCTCAGAGGGGCGTGGGGAGGGGCTCCTTATTTTCATCTGAAGTAACAGACAGAGAATCAGCACTTTTGAAACAGGGCTGAACCAGAGGGGATTATGGGTAATGCTGCAATGACCTGTTTGGTGTTTGGAGCCAAACACTTCAGAGACATGTTTTGTATATATCTGAGACCTGTGATATATTGATGAAAAACAGTATAATAGGAGACCTTTAAATCTGAGGAAATAAAAGCTGGGACTAAAGAGCTCACCTGGATTTAGAGCAAAGTTATCGATGAGGCTCTTCCAGGCGATGAAGGCGATCTTCTTGATGGTCGGGGACGAGCTGCGGAAACCCAGCTCCTCCAGGTGGAGCAGAGAGTTGATGAAGGGGCCGCCTCTGTGCAGCATCTGTGCAGGAAATACATAATAATCTGTTTAATAATACAAGACCAACCCTATGTTATATTGTCATAACATACAAACACACTTATTGAATAGGCTTAAATCAAAATGCATCTGACTTAAGGTCAAATATGTGATCTACATAGGAAACAAACTACTTCATGAAATGATTGATTTGTCATCTTATATCTCAGAGACAAAACAGGCAGGTATATATACACAACTTACCTTCCCCAGCAGTTTTATAAATAAGGGCCAGAGCTTCAGGACGTTTGTTTCATTCTTGGACACGAAAAGCTTCTGCAGCTCTGGGATCAGTTTCTGAGAGATAACAGCACATCAGAAGAATTACTTGCACTGCTCAATTCCTCTTTGCTGGTGATCAATACGACGTAGGCTGACCGTGAGAGAATAATGCATCATGAATATGTAACTAGTTAGTTTAGTTCTTCTCCATGAATATCAACCATTTGAAAAACATCATTATACAACATCTGCTGTTGATTGAATAACAGGGCTAAATGTTTTCAGTCCTTACAACCCGCTGTGTACAAAATATGTTTAAGTACTATAACAGAATTACTCACAGTGGACATCATGGGCTCGATAATGGCCGCCACCTCGGTCTGTTTCTCCAGCAGCAGAGGGAGGCCCGTCTCTAAGGCTGCTGCTGCCCGGAGACGCACTTTAGAGGCGGAGTGCACCACCAGCGGGATGACCAGCCTCGCCCAGCGCAGCGCCCCCTCGCCCATCTGAGCCGGGACCTGCTCCAGCAACCTGAAAACACCCGGAAAGATTAGGAACATTCTCACATCATTCAAACAATCCCTCAAAACTCACCTTTCCACTCTTGCCTTCTGTAGGAGCCGCATTTAAGTTTGTTTTGATTTATTTGGAACCTTTATTAATAAATGTTTCAGCGAGAGGTGCGCTTTGCTCAGGTGAAGGGGGCGGGGCTAAAAGCTTAAGTTAGAGGTGCGGTGTGTGACGGGGGGGCAGCAGGCAGCAGTAATACCGTCATTGACACGTAGCCTTATTTTTTAGTAAAGACAGATTATTAGGATCTGCCATTTAAGTTTACGTTTAAAAAAGGGGATATTGTTTTTGCATTTTGGGGAAATAAAATGTTCAAGAGCAACCAAAACATCCACTGTATTTTTTACTGCGAGTCTGACACTGCTTCCCAGCCCCAAGCTCTACATGTGGCCAAGAAAAAGAACCTCTGAAATATAGGAGTTATAAAACAAACTGTTGGATTTTGGCCACTACACCTTCAACTCCTAATCCACTAACCCCGCGCCCTTATTCCACCTAGCTTAGCACTTTCTACTTGTGTTGTTATTGTTTTTTAGCACCAGGAAAAGCACTATATAAATTAAATGTATTATTATGATTATGGCTTATTTGTTTTTTCACCGTCAATGACAGTGGAGACTTGTAACAATTATCTGAGGACGATCAAACTCACGTCCTGTTTTAGATCTGAACCAAATGTTCTTTTGTTTTACATACAGAGCTTCAATTTACAAATGAAGCTTTGAACATTTCAGCACAATTTTTTGTTAATATGGTTATTAAAAAGTAATTTATGTTGCCGTTAAATGTCTGATATATCTATATTTTCACCGTCAATGACAGTGGAGACTTGTAGCAATTATCTGAGGAGGATCAAACTCACGTCCTGTTTAAGATCTGCACCAAGTGTTATTTGGGTTTTTACATTCAGAGGATCAATTAAGCTTTACAAATGAAGCTTTGAAAATGTCGCCACAATTTCTTTGTAAATGTGGTTAATGAAACGTAATTTATGGTTTCGTTAAATGTCTGATGGATCTTTCATTTATATTATTAAGTGTGTGCAGCAATCAGGGGAGCAAACAGATTTTGACGGCATGAAACGTTTTTTTTTTTTTTTTTTAAGGCTAAACCTCGAAAATTGTGAAATACAGCAAAATACTTTGTTTGAAAAAACATGTTGTGAATTTTGCATAATATTAAACAATCCTACACAGCCACCAAAGGAATCTAACGCTAGGAATCTAAACTAGTATAATGCCAATAATATTAGAGTAGCCTAATGTTTACCTGGAGAACATAATTAAGACTGGGCATCCAGATATTGATTTAGAGTTCAAATGCATTTCCATCCAGTAAAGCAGGGGTCGGCAACCCCTGGCACGCGGCACCGTAACCAGTGGCACACTAGGAATAACTGGAATAAGTGTGCAAAATATTTAAATTGTATTTTCTGATCCTGAACGAGACCGCCGCCAGAGCGCGTCTCCCCGTTCCCTGCAGAAGGAAGCCGTGCACGCAACGCAGCCCCGCTCTGTTTAACTCCAGGTGACTTTCTGCCGCTTTCCTCCGTGGTGCAGGGCTGATAGTTTCACCACAGAGGAAAGCACTACCCATAAGGAGCTGTACAAATGCCGCAGTTTTTGCGTGGCTGTGTCTTTAGTTGAAAGCCCAGTGGCGATCTGCTCATCTCTCATCTAAATAATATGCTACAAAGGGGCGGACTGGCCATCTGTGTGTTGAACTTTCCTGTCGGCTCCCAGACCGTAGTCGAGGAAACAGGGGGGATGACTCTCTGTCGTCTCCCAGGGAAGAAGCAACACGCTTCAGGTTCAATAACCCACTTTAGCTTAAATGACTGGAGAGAGGCGAGCTCTTCTTGGGAGGCCGTTGCATTTATTTAGTTGTTCTTCTGTTTCACAAAATACATCACAGACCTCTGTTTTTCTGCTGCCTCGTTTCACTTCCGGAAACATACACACGCTCCCTCACTGTCGCTCTACCATCCACACACACACACCCCCCTCTCTCTCTCTCTTTCAAAGGGACAGCGATCTCATCTCACTCTACATGACCCTAATATCATAACATGTGTGTTCTGGAGAATCACAGAACGGACGATCGTCCTTATTATTATTATGCCGTTTAAACCAATTATTTACATTTTGTTAAATTTGGCATCCTGTAAGTTGCGCTGAAAGGTCCACACACTGCTTCCCAGCAGCGAGGCTCCCCCCGCCCTCCTGTTGACAGTTCACGAGCGTTGAGCTCCTCACCCCCCCCCCCGTTGATAATTCACGACCGCCGGCACGCTGATAACATTTGTTTTTGTAATGGCACTTCATATCAAAAAGGTTGCTGACCCCTGCAGTAAAGCAGTAATCAAGATAAACCATTGTTTGTGTACCTGATGATAACGTTTAAGGCCTCGTGCTCCAGCACCACAGACTGGATGTCCTCTCTGCCCAACACGCTCTCCAGAGCTCCCAGTATGGACGACACCTGGGAATAAAGCGGCATGGATCAGAACTGCAGTATAAAAAACACCCGACCCCTCCACTGCCTTGTGTTCAGCCATTAAAAACCTCACCTTTTTGCCCACCATCTCTGGAGGAAAGCTCTGTTTGGAGATTACCCATAATGCTCGGATGCATGTGTTCTTATCTGTCCC